TCTGACATTCATCTTGGTCTTTTCTTCCTCCTCTGTCTTAGTAATGACATTTTTCATCATATTCTTGATATCCTCTACAGCTCATTAGTGTTCAATGTCTCAAATCTGTTCCTGAGATGTTTTTGAAATTTAGAAGGGATAGACTCAAGGTCAAATTTTGGTTCCTGTGGATTTGATTTAACCTTCTTTAGTTTCAACTTGAACTTACATGAGTAGTTGGTGGTCAGTTCCACAATCAGCACCTGGCCTAGTTTTCACAGCTGATATTCAGCTTCTTCAGCCATTAAGAAACATAAATGCAAAAAAAAACCCAAAACAAACATAAATGCAGACTGTACACATGGTTACAATAAAGATGTAAATATGGACACATGTGCACATGTGCTTCCTCTTGAACTTCCTTCTGTCCTCTGCAGCTTTGGTGGACACTGCTCAGAGGTGGTATGGCAAGTTCATGTCCAAGATGCTTTTCTGTTACAGTGAAGATATTTACAAATTGCTTAACTTAACTCACTAGCACTACTTTATATCATACATTGCCACATCAATATCTAAACACGGATGCTGCAAAGAAAGAGAACAAACAATTGTTCCCAATAAGCAAGGCACTTTAAAAAAATACATATAATAGACATAATCTAATACTATTATAGAGTTTCTAGCCAATGGCCCTTCCCTATACTCTTCCACCATTTCAATCGCCAAACACTGAAATACCTCCAGCTTCAAGATAAGAGTTTCATTAACAAAGGACACTCCAGAAGACAGTCTTTCCTTAAACAAAGGATATTTATAAATATTATTTTACTACCTTGATTTTTAACATAATTTGGGCATTGGGTCTTGTTTGTCCTTTAACACACAAGAAAATATTAACCAAAATTCACATAACCCTCCACCCCATGTGTAGACAATCCCAGTTTAACCGATTTAGAGGCATAAGACCCATTTGAACCTCCTTTTCTATCCCTAGCTACACCTGGAATTCTATCTCCAAGGCATTAAGTAATTCCATTCCTCAAATACAGACATTCCTATGAATTAAAAGGAGGCACAATTATTACGATTATTTTACATCTTCTCTTAGCATAGGTTGTGCGCTGCTCAACATCCAGACATCCAGAAAAACCAGTCCAGATGTTTCAAATAAAGGCTTTAGTTTGTTCACAAAGGTTATCTTTTAGATAAGCATTCTGGTCTAGAATGCCTCCCCTTCTCACTTCTATCACTCTACTGGACAAATAGAAACATCTGTAATGCTTAGAGTTTTAACAATTTAACATCTATCAATAATCTTTGAAACAGCCTTTATTATTATTTTTAACACAAAATGTACAAATCATAAAGATTATTATTATGACTGTGGAAATCCTAGGCTATGGTCTCTAGATCTTGAGCCTTGGTGGCACTGTGGTCAGCTACCATTGAGCTGACTCTGATATCGCTTCATCCTATGCATTGTCACCATCACTGACATGTTTGAGCCCATCATTGTGGTTATTGTGCCAATCTATTTCAGCAAGGCTCTCCTACATCCTCATTGGCCTGATAGGTCATCGATTATGAAGTCTTTCTCTAGTAATAATCCTTCTTACGGCAAGTTCTCATAACTGTTTAATTGGCTAATAGTCAGAAATAGATTATCAGGTCTTTTTTCCTTCTCTGTCTTCATCAGGAAGTGCCTCTAAAATCTATTTACCATGTTTTTGTTAGGTGCTGAAGAGTTGACTATAACTCATAGCCATCCTATGAACAATGGTCTTGAACCCTGTCTTATCCTGTTTCATCTTCATCATCCTTAAAACACTTGAGCCTGCTGCTATAGTCATTGTGTCAATATTCTCCATGGGTGATGGCATATGAAGTACAGTTACAGAGGTTCCAGTATCACAGCAACATGCAAGCCATGTTGCAATGGTAAAAACAAACAAACAAACAAACAAACAAAACACAACTGGCAGATGGATGTGCATGTCTTTGATAGAGAATCTGTAAAACTTCAGAGAGATCTCATGATAGCTTCATGCTGCTCAGGACACAGCCCTCCTGCTGCAAATTGAAGAAAGCATGTGGACTGCAGCTGTTCAAGCCTGTGTTCACTGTAGACAGTGCCATGGTCATGACAGGTGAGAGACCTCAGGTTCAAGATTGCTCCTGGGGATCCCATGTTTAAGACAGCTGGGGGAGAGACAGGGTTCTGTGAGAGTACATTTCTCAGTATAAAAAAAATTCTATTCAAGTGTTTGCATTAATCAAAAGTCAGCAAATAAATATACAATTAAAACTGTTTTACTTTTGACATATTGAGAACTATAAATAGATATTGAATTCTAGTAAATGCTCTATATGCTTAAATCTTATGGGTTAGAAGGATATAATGCTTAGAGGGTGGAGAGAAAGTGCAAGTGAAGAATACACTGGGTGAGATGGATTGGCTCAGTGACTGGGGAAATGAGGATAGGTGTGTTAGAGACAATGAAACTGGATCAAGCTAGAGTAAGGTTCAGAACTGTTGTACAGTAATAACAACAGCAAAGTCTATGTGTTCATTTACAACAAATTTTGGACCTAATAATTAGTAGAAGTAAATGTATGACTGTGGAAGACCATATCTGATCTTATGGGGAATAGTTTTATATTGTGGATGTTGTTGATAGGACCAATTCCTCTTTGTAGACTTCCTTGAAATCAGTCTCAGCCTTCTCCATAGTGGCCTTGCTCCTTTTACAAGCATGTGCTTGTTATGTGCCTGCAAGTCTTTTGTAACTCATAGTGAACCTATGTAAAACAGCCCTATACCCTGCTCTATGCTGTGCCAATCTTATTGTCTCTGACACACCTATCCCCATTACCCCAATCACTGAATCAATCCATCTCATCAAGGGTCTTCTCTTATGCTGTCCCTCCACCCTCCCAAGCATGATACCTCTCTCCAAGAACTGGCCCCTCCTTGCAACATGTCTGAAGTATATCAGACGAAGCTTCAGAATTCTTGCCTTCAAGGAGAATCCTGGTTTCACCCTCTCTAGAACAAACCTTTTTGTTCTCCTAGCAGTCCACTCAATACTCCTCTCCAGCACCACAGCTCAAAGACATCAATTCTCCTATCATCTTAATCATTTACAACCATAGATTTAAAAAAAAAACTATCAGAACTGTTCACTCGGTTGGAGCTGCTCCCTGGGAGATGTCTACATTGGAAAGATGGAACTCATGATGCCTAATATGGCCTGGATCATGCTCTGTTCCCATAAAGTCAGACACTCCTGGGATTGTGGGACCAACAGGCCTGAATACCTTGTGGGGATTGGGGTGTGGCTTCACCTCACAAAGATCTTTTTGAGACCCTGCTCCATGTCACACCTGTTTGTCCAATAGCACACATCTGCCCAATGCCCAGTTGGTCCTGAACCTTGAGGTCACAATAGGGCTGTGGATATTAAAGTTCCCACAGCTCCTTACACAGCAGACAAGTTCAAGAGGGCAAACCCAGGAAGATGTGGAAGAGAACTGACCATTCACCAAAGATCAAAGCAGCAGACAGATCTCAAGCAGGCCATTTCAAGACGGTGGGTTCAGCTCAGGAATCAGCTGAAACACATTCTCTGCATCTGCAAGACTCCCAGAGCTTCCTGGTGTTTGAAGACTTTTGCCGTTACATCAAAGAGGTGGGAGTCCAGCTGGTGAAGAAAGTCAATGCCATCTTTCAACTGGACATCACCAAGGATGGGAAGACTATCCAGCAGTGGACTGTTGATTTGAAGAATGGTCCTGGAGACGTGTACCCAGGATCAGCCAGGCTCCCTGCAGACACTGTCTTCACGATTCCAGAGGCCATCTTTATGGAGTTGGTTTTGGGCAAAATGAATCCACAGAAGGCTTTCCTTGCTGGCAAATTCAAAGTGAGTGGCAAAGTTCTACTTGGTCAGAAGTTGGAGAGAGTTTTTAAAGATTGGGCTAAAACCACCAAAAGACTTCTCCCCAACTATAATTACAAGTGAAAAAAAAATCATGCTTAAATGGAAGATTACAAAAAGTATCCAGTATTTTTACTCATATTCTTCCTATTCAAATTTGATTACTTTGTTGTGGATATGAAAATTTGTAGTAAGGGTTCTAGAGCAGTAAAGAATGCTGGAGTTCATCACCAAAAGTTTTGTCTTTTTCTTTTCTTAGCTTTTATGTTGTAATTTAATAGGGTGAAATCTACACATAGAGATTTGGGTGATGACAGGTCGCTGATGACAACACTTGAGCTCTTGTGAATTCTACCTGGCAACAAGGTTAACAAGTTGCCTTTACTATTGGGTGGCTCGACAGCAAGGAAGGGTGACATCCCAACTGTTCTTGTGGAATAGTCAGGACAGAGATGCCTTCCCCTGCCCCCCCCCATTTATCATGATGGTTTTAACACAGAATCCAGGGGCAATGGAGGGCTCTGAAACAGAAAATGTTCCCAGTGGTTTTTGAGCATGCATCAGAATCTTTGAAAGGCTAGTGAAAGCCCAGGTTTCTGGCCCCATCCTCAGAAGATCCTATCCTCTGTAGGTTTGGGGTGAGGGAGGATGTGCATTTATAACAAGTTCCCAGGTAATGATCAAGTTCTAGTTGATTCCATAGCCTTCAATAATGACCCTAAATATTCTGTTCTAGATCTGTAAGGTGCTGCTTCTATTCAAAGTACCTCCTTTTTAATGAGCCAGTTCTGAAGCATCCAAACTTCTGGAGTTGGTGAATTGAGCATTTTACAAAATGAAAAGTCATCTTAGGAGATCTTCCTTCAGGGAACTTGCTGCACACATGGTTTGAGGGACTACATTAATCTGGCTATAGCCTCATGTGACCTCTTTATGGGTATTTGTGACATAAGGAGCTCTGGTAGCGTAATGGTTAAAGAATTCAACAATTCAACTGCTAATTAAAATATCAGTAGTTCAAAATTACAAGAAATTGCACAGGAGAAAAGAGAGACAGTCTGTGTACATTAAGATAAACGGCCTCAAAACCCTTTTGACAGTTCCACTCTGTCTAATGGGCTTTGCTATGCATCAGAATCAGTTTCATGGTAGTGGGGTTTTTTGCTTATATGTGCCATTCATTAGTTCACACAAAATCTCTTGTACTCAAACTGCCATGCTCCAACATATGATTCAGCCAGTCTGTTCTTTGGTATTTACTCAACAGAAAAGAAAGCATATGTCCATACAAAAACTTAAATGTGTATGTTTTTCATGGCTACATTTGTAATTGTTGTTGTTGTTGTTGTTGTTGTGTGCGGTCGAGTCGTTTCCGACTCATAGCGACCCTATGCACAACAGCCCTAAACCCTGCTCTATCCTG